CATCATTTATAAATTGAAAATAAAATAGTTAAATAATGATTTATCATTTATTGAAATATGAATATCATCAATAGATTCCATATTTCTTATAATATCATTATCTATATATCTAATGTTCAGTGTGTGTGTGTCTGTGTCTGTGCCGGGTCAAAGGTTAAAAGTCAAAGATTAAAGGTCACATAAGGCAATAAGGGGAGATCTCCAGGGACTATTTATGGGGACTTATAGGTCCCCAAGGGCTATCCTATGGGGGACTCATAGATCCCCAAGGACTATTATGTGGGGGTACCCATAGGTCCTCAAGGGCTATCCTAGGGCGGTACCCATAGGTCCTCAAGGGTCATCCTAGGGGGTACCCGAAGGTCCTCAAGGGCCATCCTATGGGGGTACCCATAGGTCCTCAAGGGTCATCCTAGGGGGTACCCATAGGTCCTCAAGGGCTATTACATGGAGATACCCCTGGGCTCTCAAGGGCTATTATATGGAGGTACCCATAGGTTCTCAAGGGCTATTCTATGGGGGTACTCCTGGGCCGTCAAGGGCTATTACATGAAGATACCCATAGGTCCTCAAGGGCTATTATATGGAAGTACCCCTGGGCTCTCAAAGGCTATTATATGGAGATACCCATAGGTCCTCAAGGGCTATTCCTATGGGGGTACCTTTGGGTCCGCAGGAACTATTCTATGGGGGTACGTCTGGGTCCTCAAGGGCTATCCTATGCGAGTACCCATAGGTGCTCAAGGGCTATCCTATGAGGGTACCCATAGGTCCTCAAGGACTATTATAATGAGGAAGCCACAGGTCCTCAAGGGCTATTGTATTGTGGTACCCATAGGTCCACAAGGGCTATAAGGCTATAAGGGAGTAGGGAATAAAGAGATAAGGATATAAGAGTAAAGGGGATAATAGGCTAAGGCTGCATGGGCATAAGAGATAAAGCTAAAAGAGTATAAGGGAATAAGGGTATATGGTATAAATGGACAAGGCTGGAAAGGATATAAGGGATAAGGAAATAACGGAATAAGGCTAAAAGAAGTACTACAACAAGAGTATGAGTCTACAAGGGTATCAGGCTGTACGATCTCTATATGTATATATAATGGGAACTGGGTTTTTGTCTATTTTCCAATCAAGGCTAAAGGACAGAAGTGAAACTTCACAGGAAAAAAAGCATCCGTGCAGTATGCACGGGCTCTCGCTAGTTATATATTTATTGATAAGAATAATATTTATTGTAGTAAATATAAAATGAAAAAAAGCTAAAAATATTTTGTTTATCATTTGGAAAAAGAAAAGAAAAATTTGATTTAGGGTGCGGTTGTGGATGTGGATGTAGGCTAAGAGAAGATTTACACGCACCCACACCCGTCTCTAGTATCTGTAAAAGAATTTCAGGTCAATCGGATATACTGTGCCGAAGAAACAGGGGTTGATTCTGCAGGTTTTTTTCTGAAAAATCTGGTTTCTAGAAAACCGTGAAAGAAAAAATCCTGCTATACCACTACAGTAATCGAAAAATCTTTCCAATTTTATTTTTGCTTTACAACTGTATTTGAGTTCTCAAAACGCCACCAATAGATAAAGGGCACTTGAAAGCATATGTCGAGCAGAAAAAACAAGAATGAACATTTTGGGTCGGGAAAGGAGGTCCCATTAAGATATTGTTTTTACTGTTACACGAAAAAAAAGAGAAGAAAATTGTGACTGTAGGCATATATAACATCGTATAATAGTATTTCTTTTATATATAAATAATTAGTCACCTGTATGCCGTCGAAAATTTCCAACGACATACAGCGGAGAACGCAAGAGAAAAATATTTCTACTTGAATACTGTACTATAGATATCTAATGTGATGCATGCCATTCAGTAAAGAGTGTTTTTGCGCTATGGACAATCTAACCATCTCATGTTCAAGATATGTTTTTCAAAATAATAGCAAATGGTTTCTTTTAGCCAATTGTACAACAACAGCATCATATTGCTGGTGTAATAAATGTTTTACTGGTGATCTACGTGAAATTAAAAAATATCCAAAAAACATTTCCATCTATAATATGTCAGAAGAAAATATAAAAGATTATACTGATACTATTTACATGGAAACAATTATATATGGTTTACTTGGTATAATAGCATTCGTAAGCAATCTGTTATCATTACAAGTATTTTTATTTTCTAAAAAGATTCGTATAACAAATCTTGGGATATATTTAATCTTATTTTCATTAATTGGTGTAATCGCTAGTATTACAGAAATTCAACGTGCATTTATGGATTTAGCTTCTCATTGCAAGAAACTGTCACAATTGAATCGTCTAATAAATTGTGCACTCCATATACTTCTAGAACTACTACGTTTCTGTCTCTATTGGTTTTGTGCATGTATTGCTGTTGAGCGTATTCTTATTGAATATTCATTTATTAGTATTTATGATTCAAGACGACGTTCATTAATTATTTCTATATTACTTTTTCTATTAATACCATTAATAAATCTATTACCAATTTTACTTAGTCGAAAAGATTCTATTTATACTTCATATAATTGTTGTTTATCAAATATTACATCAATTGGTCGTACATTCTATTCAATATTTAATTATATTAGCTACATAGTTCCCCTACTTTTATTCATAATTGCATGTGTAGTTATTTTTAATCATCTCACGAAACATCGTCGTAGTTTAGTCAACGATGAATCATTTCGTTCATCATTAATTTTAATTGCATCGAAACATTATGATTTTTTTGTTCCAATAATACTCTTTTGTTTAACAACTACTCCCAAATTGATATTCGATACATGGATGAATTATTCACGAGCAAATTCCATAGAAATGTATCCTACACAGACTGTAATGCTACTATTAAATAATTGTTCTTTGCCATTAACATTTTTTGCTTATATTTATTTATCAAATGTATATTTTAACGAATTTTGGCAAACATCACCTTTTGGGCGATTTTTAATCTATGTTAAAAATCGTTTTATAAGTTTTTGAAGCATCAGATGAGTGTCGCTGACGGTGGAGGCCGATTATGAACTTGTAGTAGCATCAACTGAAAGCATCTCTTATAAATAAATATTTATTTTCTCTATCGTACTTCAATATGATTTCTTGTAATTCATTGAGGATTGAAAAGAAATTATGTGGAAGGCACATAAAAAACTTATTAGGTATTTCCTACAATCGAATAAACGATGAAGTTGACACCTTGTGTTCAGAATTAAGTGTCATTTCTATTGTCCGTTTTAAAATATAGTGTGCTCCACTGTTTTTTGAATAACTCGACAATGCAAACAGTTAGAGATCTGCGATTTTCGCCATTTGAAAGACAAGACAGGGGACGTCCTTTTCTTCAATATTGTATAAGAATAAATCATTTCAAAATCAGTTATGTCTGCAAAACATTAGAAAAAGTGATTCGATGCGTTGTATTAGTTTCCGGAAAACTCACTTTACTGCAAGGACATGTATAAGAGATTTCCAATGGCCGTAATGGCCATTACGGTCATAATGGCCATTATGGCCGTAATGAACATAATGACCGTAATGGCCATAATGGCCATATTGGCGATAATGGCCATAATGGCGATAATGGCCATAATGGCCATATTGACGATAATGGCCATAATGGCCATATTGGCGATAATGGCCATGATGGCCATATTGGCGATAATGGCCATAATGGCCATAATGGCCATATTGGCGATAATGGCCATAATGGCCATAATGGCCATATTGGCGATAATGGCCATAATAGCGATAATGGCCATAATGGCCATAATGGCCATAATGGCCATAATGGCCATAATGGCCATAATGGCCATAATCGCCATTATGGCCGTAATGGATATAGTTCTGGGGAAATTGAAAGTAGTTTCCGGAAAGGAAAGTATTTTTTATAGATGCCTGGCCTATTTAAATAACAATAGTTCGACTGAAAAGTCTACTTACAATTTATTGAATATATCAAAAGCTGCACAACTCTGGTATCGATACACGCAAGGAAAAAGACGTCTGTGTGACGTAAATTGGTTAATATATTACTTTGTCATCGTGATATATATTATAATTAAGGTAAATATATGTAAAAGAGAAGGATAATAGTTTAGACAGTCTCAGCTTTTGGATAGTGTTGTGTTGATATTGATCGAGTTCATGGGAAAATATCTGTTTGCAGATGATACTGGCACATGCAGTGGTGATATAGGTATTTGGCAATGTCGTTGGAGATTGAATCTACATGTTGTATAGAATATGCAGCGATTTGACAAGTTTATAAAGACTAATATGCAGAATGATCTTGATAACTGATGAGTCATAGGCGATCAATCTTCTTTGATAAATAGGCATTAAGAGCGATCAACATTGTTTTGAAAAGTTAAGTATATTAGTAAAAATGTGCATTGTTTTCTGTTGAATTTCTTCAGATAATTGTTTGATTAATCTTAAGTTTTTATTGTATGTTGTTTTATTATTTCAGATGCCAAATGATGAAGATATTTTGGAAGCCCTTCGTTGCTCTATTGATTTAGTTTCTTTCGTTTACATCTGCCGATTATATATTAAATTATCGAGTCTTCCATCAATGATTTTATCATCTACTGGTCGAACGCAATTCATAAAAGAGGCAGTGAACGATCATTATGATGCCAATCATTCGATCGAAGATATTATAATGGTGACAAACATGATTGAAATGAATAAAGATATCATTAATCAAGTATTGCTGTTGTCAGATATCGAGAAAAATAGTATTATATTGGATTTAAATCATGTTACAATGGACATCTTAAACGATTTGATCTTACTTCCATTCACTGGCACATGTGTTGATTGTACAAGATTACTCACTTCATATCGATACAAATCTATTCATGTTATTGATTGTTTTAAAATTATTCGAGCAGTAGCTGTAACTGCTGAGTGCAAGCGATGTTCACTGTTCTATAATCATTCATCTTGGTATTCATTAAAAAACCGATGTCGAAAGGTAAATAATTCATCAATGAATAGTGTATTCAAAGTTTTTTATTTATGTGATTCTTTCGGATTTACATATTCGGTTTTATTGGATTATACATGGCAACTTTTACATGATCAATGTCCATTTCAATCATTTTCTCGAATACTTATTGATAGATATAATTATGAACAACAAAATAATAGTGTCATTTTTCAACCCATTCAATTAGCAAAATTATTTCAATGTCATTGCCTATTATATCAAATTGTGGCACTAGTACAATTTGTCGCAAAACAATTCGTCGCACATGCATTGTAGAGAATACATTGATTGAATTAAGTAATTTAGTGTAAAATGTTATACAATTAATCGCCTTAACAAAAATTTTTCTTTGGACTCATAAGAATCTTTTCCCAGAATACAATGGTTTTTTCAAAAATAAAATAGAAATATCAATTTAAAGCCTATTTTAAAATTTAATTAAAAAAAAATTGAAGTTTGATTTTAGATAAAATTCTATGTATACAAATTAAAAATAAAGTTCATTTTTTGCAATTGAAATTTAGCATTTTGTTTAAAAAGAAGCTAAAAGTTAAAACAAAAATATAAAATTGAAAAAAAATTTTACATATCTAAATTAAAAAAATTAAAGCTTTTTATTTATTGAAAACATAAATTTTAATGACAAAAAAATGCGGAAACTTCGGATTTAAATCCGAGAGTTATGTGTACTTCAAAAAGTGAATCATACAAATCAATCATCCTAGACTGTCTGAATATCAAAATTATACTGTGAAATCTACCATGTAAAATGTTGATTTCTATTGCGCGTTGCCAAACCAATAGGACATGGGCCGAATACAGCTCAAGTTTGAACTCTTTCCCTTGATTTACCCTAAGAAAGTCGTTTTTCCTATAACTTCATTTCTATTGGCCACTGCACAACTAATAGTATTTCGATGGAAGTGCAGTACATATTCGAGTTCTCCATATCTGAAAACCTCGAAGTATCATCAGTGTGACCGGAAGATAAAGCTCTATTTGTGGATCAATTAGGTCGTGGACCAAAATATAACCTAGTTCTCTTTAATTGTCTTTGTCATTGGTAAGTCAACCTTCTTGTTTCTTTATGTTTTATATATCATTTTGTAGTTCTTGAAATTCTCTATCGAATGGTATATAATAGTTGGGGTTTTAATTGACTATGATAGGAAAAGTCTTTTACGAAAGTCGCGATGGGTCCATTTTTCCACAGAAAGCTATAGGGGAAAATGGGTATTTTTGCAATAACTCAGGAACGGCTCGGCCGATCCTTCTCATCTTCGAACTCGACCGAGATATTGTCAAAACTAAGCTGTGTAGAAAATTTCATCGCAATCTGACTCTCCTTTCGAAAGTTATCGTGTTAACGGCCGGCCGGACGGACACACAGACCGATTTTAGTAGTGTACTCACTTTTTGAGTACACTAAAAAAGAACTTTATTTTTAACTTGTCAACATAGAATTTTATTTAAAATCAAATTTTAATTTTTTTTTTAATTTAGATTTGTAAAATTTCTTTTCGATTTTATATTTTTGTTTTAACTTTCAGCTTTTTTTTGTGTACATAGAATTTTATTTAAAATCAAACTTCAATTTTTTTAATTAAATTTTAAAATAGGGTTTTAAATTGACATCTCTATTTTATTTTTGAAAAAATATTGTATTCTGAAAAAATATTCTTATGAGTCCAAAGAAAAATTTTTGTTCGGGCGATTAATTGTATAACATTTTAAACTAAAATACCTAATTCAATCAATGTATTCTTTACAATACATGTGCGAGGAATTGTTTTGCGACGAATCGATCGCGACGAATTGTTTTGCGACGAATTGATTGCGACGAACTGATTGCGACGAATTGATCGCGACGAATTGTCGTGCGACGAATTGATCGGTCACCCAAATTGTACGTTTTGAATTCATGTTAAGTAGAGCACAAATAGTAAATTTACCTATTTCACTTAATTGCAATGAACTTAATAATCATTTTTAACGTTATTCTGGTTGGTGGTATCATTTATTTACTGCGTTTTGGTCCCGACATAAATCAATTCCAAATTTAAAATGTGCTCCAGCAAATTGTAGTCGATGTGTTATTGTTGATGGTCATCAAAAAAATCGAAGATTAGTATGTAGTCACAAGCACGTTATCGATACCACTATTGAGGAAATGACTGCAGTTGAGATTGGTTGTCCATATCCACCTTGCCGAAGAAAGCAGCTATCCGATTCAGGTTGGTCTGAGAACTCATATTAGTAGATATTTTACAGAATTGTTGATTATTAACAAATTTATTTTAGTTGATCCAATATATTGTCGATATCACCAACCAGCAATTCTTTTATCATCTTCTTCACATTTACAAACGGCTATTGATATGGCTGCGAAATTTTCGGTAATTATATTGGTTTGACTCAGCGATTTAATAAATCAAGTATCAGACAGTAGTGAATATGCAAATGATTTATATTTAAGGCTTCGTAGTATAGACATAACATGAATAAAAATCAATTGGAATTTTGGAAAACTTTTGTTCTTTGTCCATCAGATAAATTTCCTAACAGACTTTTATAGATTGTGAAGTAGAATGCATGGATTGAAAAATAATTATAGTGGATTTTAAACTTTTAATTTTCGCTGTTTCTCAGTTTCTTTATTTCGCTTATGAAGAAAGTCAATGAGAATGATGCAAATAGGTAAACATACCCTTAAACCTTCATGAATAAGCATAATCAGCTTGAAATCTTATATTTCTATCAACTCTTAAAATTCAAAGGCTTATTATAAGTTTTAGTTTGAATAATATGAAAACCATACTAGTTCTGAAAATGATGGAACTTCCAAAGAATATATATGAATTTTAAAATGATCATTAAAACGTCTGGCAATTGTATATAACTTTCTAATTGCTTATATAATGGGTTCTTCTAACGAAATTTACCTTTACTATTTAAACGATGTTTTATTCTAGAAGCAAGACCAGCAATT